GAAAGAAAGAAAGAAAGAAAGAAAGAAAGAAAGAAAGAAAGAAAGAAGAAAAGAAAAGAGGGAGGGAATAAGGACGAAAATGATGTTTTTGCCAAAGAGATATATTAGGCTTCACAAACTGGACTTGGGCTTTGGGTCAGTGGATGAGGACTTGCTTTGTATGTATACAGCCCTGGAAGTGGAGAGTAACCTGGGGTAGCAAGGTGGCTCAATGGATAAGGGTGATGACCCGAGTCTGATACCAGAACCACAAGGTGGAAGGAGAGAATTGACTCTCTCATAAGTTGTCTTTTAACTCGCACACACATACACATAAATGTAATAAAAAAAAAACCCAACTCCTACAAGAATAAGCATTTACCAAGTTTAGTATACACTAAACTGTGCCAAGCCCTTGAATATGTGGTCTCTCTTGTGAGCCTAAGGGTGGGGGACATTGAGATGACTCAGCAGGCAAAAGCACTTGTCATGCAAGCCTGGTGACCTGAGGAGAAAACCAACTCCTGAAAGTTGTCCTCTGATTTCTGCATGTGCTCCATGACACTAACGTGCCCCGACACTGACACACATACACATTATAAATACACATGCAGATGGGCTAACAATAAATACAAAGAAAAAAAATTAAAGAACAACCAGGCTAGAGAGATGGCTCAGTGGTTTAAAGCACTGACTCCTCCTTCAGAAGTCCTGAGGTCAGTTCCTAGCAACCACATGGTGGCTCACAAACATCTGTAATGGGATCTGATGCCCTCTTCTACTGTGTCTGAAGACAGTGACTGTACTTATATACATAAAATAAACTAATTAATAAAAAAAATAAAGAACAACCTTGGGAGATAGGATGTTGGTTGTTCTTTTTTGTTTTTTTTTGGTTTTTGTTTTTTGCTTCCCATCACTGAGGAGGAAACTGAGGCAAAAATAAAGGTCATTCCTGCCAAGTGTATAGTGCCCAGTGCTCAGGAGGCAGATGCAGGTGGATCTCTCAGTTGAGGCCAGTCTGGGCTATAGAACTAGTTCCAGGGCAGCCAAAGTGACACAGACTTTGTCTAAAAAGGAGGAGGAGGAGGAGGAGGAAGAGGAGGAGGAAGAAGAGGAAGAAGAAAAGGAGGAGGAGGAAGAGGAGGAGGAGGAGGAGGAGGAAAGAAAAGAAAAGGAAAAGGAAAAGGGAAAGGAAAGGAAAGGAAAGGAAAGGAAAGGAAAGGAAAGGAAAGG